TATGGAGGGGATTATAATCAATGTAATGAAACAAGTTATATGAATTGCTGAATGTGAAACTGATGATGTGCCCTGTAAACTTTCACTCAATCCACAATAAAAACCTTAAATTAAAAAAATATATATATATATTGATCCAAAAGAAAAAAGCAGGTTTTGTCAAATGATCATCCTCCTCCACTTCATTTTGGTTAGTGTGTTTCAAAATTTTAAGTAAACAGCTGTTGTAGTTGGGAAAGAACAACATCAGATCCATCCACCAAAAAATGCTGTTGTCATCGGCCAGACCATTCTGCTCCCAAAGTGACATCAGCCTGGGGTCCACTCTGTAATTACTGTAGAACCCCCATATCCGCCAGCCGCTTTGACAGCTCCCCATTTTCTTGCATAGTTACCAGATCACTGCATCCACCTATACAATCATTTCCAATAAAAACCCGAGGTATCGTTCTTGCTCCTGTGAGCTGCTGGAGATAATCTTGAACGGCATTTGTGTGTCATTGGAAGCTATGATATCGACAAATACTAAAAGCCCTTGTTTGAAAGGCAATTGGCAGAGGATCTCTTGGGTCTTTCTGCAATAAGGGCAGGTGGGTTTAATGAACACAACCACCTTCCCTGGGTGGACTCTGCTGTTCACAAACTGTTGGGCCATGCTGACAAGCTGCTATCTCCACAGGAGGACTCTTCAGTTTCAGGTATTGCTGGAGTGAGTGTCTAGCAATCATTTTGCTTCAAGTTTTTCTGGCATACATGGAATCACGTACTGTTATGAGGGGGCTTCAAAATGTTCATGAGAAAATTCCATTATCTTTTAATTTGATTTTTTCCATGAACATTTTGAAGTCCCCTCATATTTGTGGACAATTTGTACAAAATGCTGGATGTAAAAGTCAGCTAGAGAAGCAGAAGCGCCTTTATGTTGAATATGTGTTTGAGGCGCACTAAAGGCTCTACAGAACTCTTGTGGCACTGTGGGGCTAATGTGCTGGATTGCAAAGTCAGTTTGAACGCAAGGTCAGTGGTTCAAACTCATCAGCCGTTTCTCAGAAACCCTATACAGGGTTGCTATGGGTCGGAACTGACTCGATGGCACTTAACAACAACAACAAGGGCTCTATGTAACATTTACCTTTTAGATGGTGACGTAACAGCGATGGAAGGTGACAGCTAAAGTCTGGGAGATCACTTAGGTAGCTTATCAGCCACAGAAAAAGGAAGATAAATTTCTCTTCTAAGGTAGTAGTTGCAGGAAAAGAAGGATTAAAACTATCTAGAACCACTAACATGATACAATCTACAAAGAGGGGAGAGGGTAGGCCGAACTGATGCTAACTCTTAAGGGCACTTGGCTTTCACCAGCTGGGATCCTGCGCACCATGTACTGCTGTGCCACACATTAGCAGCAGTTTATGATCTGTTGCAAATTATTCCTTACTTTTGCCAGAGTTGAATGATTTACTTTGTTTAATTAACAAGTGGGATGGTTTTGAGATTAGCTTTAAACTAAAGACCTTCTCTTTCATTTGCATTATAATGCACTGCCTTCAGTGGGCAAATTAAGGGATGAATTTACAGTCAGCAGGACAGAAACTGTGCAAAAGCCTCCATTTATCTATACCACCAACTGAAGCACTACTGATAAAAAGATGTAGTGACTTAAATTACTGTATGTGGTGTGGCACTATAGGATCAGCACTGGACTGCAAACCACAAGGTCAGCAGTCAAAACCACCAGCTGCTCCTCAAAAATCCTGTACAGTGTTGCTATGAGTCAGAATCGACTCGACAGCACTTAACAACAACAATATATGCTCACTATGTAATCAAATGGAACAACTCCATTACTCAAAAACACTGAAAACCTAACAGAAAGCTAATTTACTTGGAACTGATATAGCCCCTCCCTGAATTGTGATGTTATCTTGGGAATGTGCCACAGGTATAGATGTTAGCTGTCCTGTTTCAAACAATGGACAATGGTGGAAAGGCAACTGCCCCCTGCAATACAGCACAGAATCTGAAGGCTTCATGCCTGCAAAGGACTGCAGGCAGTCACAGTTTAGTTTCAGCTTGTGCCTAGGTTTAAGTGTACAGATGCCAATTTTTCTTGAGTACTTCATACACCTGTGATAGCTGAACTGCCAAAGTCAGAAGAAGAGTGTGTTTGAAATTGGGTTTGGGGCCACTTCCCCTACCAGTGAAGAAAGACTAGAAACTCCTTTGAAGCTTTCCTGGGCATAATGGTTGCCCGGGATGCCTAATTGTGACATCATACCTTGGGAGCCTGAGAAGCAGTCTGTAAGCTTTCCTAGTTACAATAGTCCCCTCCCTGCTTCTGTCAGCCCAGCATGATTATGTGACATATGCCATCAGTCTATCAGGGTTATGGGAGGAGATTTCTTTGTTCTCTGTCCTATAAAAGGTCACCGCATGGAGAGAGAACTTTGGATTTTATCATGGCATCATATTATGATTTCCCTCACCTGGGTTATCTATGTTTGTCTTGTCTTGTCTTTACTCCAGTAAAGACTTAATAAACACGGTCAAACTGCAAAGTCATTTGAACTGCAAGGTCAGCGGTCCAAGCTCACCAGTCACTCCTTGAGGGTCGCTTTGGGTTGGAATCGACTTAATGGCACTTAACAACAACATAATATTTATATATTTGAAGATGGAGTCTTTTTTTCCTATAACACCCCAAGAAGCATGCATATATGATAACTCAGTCAGTGTGTCTGTTGTGTTAATTGCCACCTTCCAGAAGCATGTCAGAGAAACACCACCTCATTTAATGGGATCTCTTGCTGTTTTTATCTACCTATCCACCTGAAGTGTTAGGTTCTGATAGGCTGAGACACAGACTGGGGATTCCCAGTAGGGGTAGAGAGAGTGGGAAATGACAACTTAAGTGTTTTGTTCAGGTGACAGTGTCTGTAGTTTTGTAGTGTAGGGATGCTGGAAGTAGTGGAGAGCTTTCAATACCAGGATGAGGGGTTTCTCATTTATTCTTCAGGTAAAACATTGCAGAGTTAAACAAGATCATCAAGCCTCTGGTGTTTTGCATATAAGTTCAGTCAAGAGAATCAAGGTTGTCAAATTCCTCGACACTTGAGAGATGTAAGGAACATTTTCTGGTTTCTGCCACAGTGGTATTGTTTTATGAGTTCTCTTTTAAACTGAGAATCTAGTCACTGCTGAGTTTGTTTCCTTTTCTCTAATTGTTGAAAGAGTGGTGGATCTATTGATATCTATTGTTTCCCTGCAATTTTACTTATGAAAATATTTTCAAGTTATTTTAATATGTCTTGGATAAATCGCTTCCTTGCTTTTTACCACTTTAGTTGCCCTGTGATGACTTACCATGGAGCCATCCCGGGGATCAGCCAAGCTTCCCTCTTCATCCTGAGATCCATCCGACAGAGTAATACTGTTGAGTGATGAGTCATCTGGCTAAATGGAAAAATAAGAGGACCATTCTTATTCAGGCACATACTTTCATTTTGAATGTTTGTGTATTCTACTATGCATACATATTTAGTTATGTGTGGCAATGGCTCTGCTAAAATGGAGACATAAATATTGTTTCTTTACTGAAGGATCCTTATTACAAAATTGAGTGTTTTGTCATTTTTTAAATAAAAAATTACCCTTACTCATCTGCTCAGCAATATTTTCTGAAGTTTCTATAGGCAGTATGCATTACTTTATAATATAAAATGGACTATTTTTTTAAAAGAAATGAATGAGATAAATTAATGAATACAAAATAGCTAGATCAAGATGGCTGACAATCATCTACGGCTCTTCCCATCCTAAACCACTAGAAATAACAGCAAATGTATATTTAAAGAAACAGATTTTTAATAGCACTGTAAATAAGAATATAACCCTACAGCAAACCAACTGACTGAAATCTCTAGATCATAAATGAGAAGCCATTTGTTTTCTCCTGAAACCCAGAATTCTGGGTCCATGGAGCTGAGGTGACCCACACAGATCAATTGACCTTGTTGTTGTGAAGTGCCGTTGAGTCGACTCTGACTCATGGTGACCCTGTACAGGGTTTCTGAGGAACAACTAACCGGTAAGCTTGAACCACTGACCTTGTGGTTCTGACCCATAGCAATGCTGCATAGGGTTTCCAAGGAGTGACTGGTGAGCTTGAACCACTGACCTTGCAGTTCAAACGGTTTTGTGGTCTGGCATATTAACCCACAATGCCACACCAGAATCCTTGAGGTCCTGAGGAAATATTTTCCTAAAAATACCTTCAAGTCAAATGATTGCTTAGTAAGCAGTTTTGTAAAGATCATTTTGCCTTAGGCAATGGGCTCTTTTGGAGAATTACAAAAACCTTCAGTAGTGTATTATACTCAGACTATAACCTGTTTTCACCGTTCTTCTGAACACCTCTATAACCTGTTTTCACCGTTCTTCTGAACACCATGCGGATACCTTCAGACTGACATTGCAGATTCAAATGGTATCTACTCACAGTAAATATATTCAAGTTACACTAATTTCTGGTATTTCTCTGTGCATTTAGATTTTTGACAAAAGCAAATGAGATTGGTTTGTTAAAGTAGCAAAAAGAAAATTTCAAAGGAGAGAACAGAAAACAAAAGACAATCTGAATGTACAAAGAGCAGGAAGGAACTATAGACAAATAATTAACTGTTTACATAAAGTAGATGCCATG